GTCCAAAAGACACTTTCCAGCCTTTCACCACAACAGTAGAGACATAAATAAACTGACCAACATAAATAAAGTGACCAAACGAGTGAAATGACTAAAATAAAGACCTGCACTCGTGCGACCTGCACTCGTGCGACCTGCACTCGTGCGACCTGCACTCGTGTGACACTGAAAAGATAAAACATGAACTATCTCCTGTACAACACACAGACAGAACAGACTCACCATCATCAGCACCTCTTCTGTCACAAAAACAACTCACATAATCCACAGAGTCGAGTCATTTAGTCCAAAAGAAACTGAATCACATCAGCGACACAAGGAGCAGCTGTTTTTATCACCACTAACAGTTTATGCTAATTAGCCAAACGGTCTTAAGTTTCGTTTCTGTAAAACGTAAACAAATGTGATCAGAGCTGAATGATCTGATCAAACGGGCTGATGTGTCTATAGTGTTTATGGTTTATATGTTGTAAAGTTGAGTTTATTTATTCTGTGCAGTGGATTGTGGGAGATCTCGTAGCTCGTTAGCTTCTTATGCTAAAGGAGCTCACGGTTTGTATTTTTCCTGGTTTATGAAATTTAAGTTAATTTTTGTGCTTCCGCATTTGTAAGATTATGTCAAGAAACCGAGACATTTCATCTGATCATGTAGACGTGGATATGAGTCCTGGTTTCTCAGTGAACATGTAAACACAGTAACACGAACACTGACACACCCGGGACACTGATGTGCATGTGACACACTCAATGCTTTAATTAAGAAAAACTCTTATTCCGTTTGATTTGTCAAGTTGAATCTACACAAATAAAGTAAAATATTCTTTGTTTAAGTCATTATAACTCACGTAAAAACACTTTTTGCAGCGTCTGTATTAACTCACTCATGTTTATCATTTTAATTCTGTTTTAATAACTCACATTGATCTCTAAAGCCCATTTTAATCAAACTGAAGCAAATCTCTAAACGAAGGATTCAGTTTCATTCAAATAAAGAATAAATAACTCTGGCCCCAAAACTGAACCTTGAGGAACACCTCAAATAAATGAAACTTTTCCATTCAAGTGCACAAACTGGAGTTTAACGCTCCTCTGATCTAATAAAAACAACACTTCTGTAACAGTAAATCATGATGAGTAATATCGGTGTCATAAAACGTGTCAATAATCAAGATTTTTGACACTGAAGAGAGTTAAATTTAAAAGGCTGTGGTGTAATCTGTATATCTGTATAATCTGTATATCTGACAAAAGCACAGTGTTAAATAAACTAAACAAATAATAACAATAACAAAAGTATGTTCGTGTTGTTTCAGACTCTGTGGTTTTGTTCCGGTTCAGGAGTTAAAAACTGTGGAGTTAAAATCTGCTGAGTCATGGCCGGAGCTTACGGTAAGTTTGTTTTCGCAGGTTTATTTTAGTTTATTTGATTCTGGAAACGTTTCATAAACGTCTCGTGACGTTTGGACTGTGACGTCTGCGCAGAGGAAAGATAAACTGGTCCAGTCATTACAGAAATATTTACCGTAAGGAAGAATAAAGAATAAAGACAAAGTATTTTAATCACGGCACCGAGTCGCTTCAGGTTCATGTTTCACTGAGGGTTTTTTTGTCTCATTATATAAAGATGGAAACGAGACTCATGAGTTTGTTTTCTGGAATGTTTCTGTGTGAATATTTAAATTAAATTCAGAGAAGCACTGATAGGAATCTGGTATCAGTATCGGTTGAACGATATCGGTTCTTTTTACAAAATCAGGACTAAACCAGGACTAAAAACCAGACTAAAACCAGGACTAAAAACTAAACCAGGTCTAAAACCAGGACTAAACCAGGTCTAAAAACTAAAACCAGGACTAAACCAGGTCTAAAACCAGGACTAAACCAGGACTAAAACCAGGACTAAACCAGGTCTAAAACCAGGAAAACCAGGACTAAAACAGGACTAAAACCAGGACTAAAACCAGGACTAAACAGGTCTAAAACCAGGACTAAACCAGGTCTAAAACCAGGACTAAACCAGGTCTAAAACCAGGACTAAACCAGGACTAAACCAGGTCTAAAACCAGGACTAAACCAGGACTAAACCAGGACTAAACCAGGTCTAAAACCAGGACTAAACCAGGTCTAAAACCAGGACTAAACCAGGAATAAAACCAGGAAAACCAGGACTAAACCATAATTAAAACCAGGACTAAAACCAGGACTAAACCAGGTCTAAAACCAGGACTAAAACCAGGTCTAAAACCAGGACTAAACCAGGTCTAAAACCAGGACTAAACCAGGACTAAACCAGGTCTAAACCAGGACTAAACAGGCTGCATAAAACATGACTACAAAACTCTCTTATACGTCCACGGTAAAAAAAAAAAAAAAGGCTGTTGAACAGGTTGTATTTAAAAATAAAATTCAGAGAAAATGATCAGTCTTGTATCGGCCCGGAAATATTCTCAGAGTTATTTCCCGTTGGTTTAGAGTTATTATAATATGTTTGGAGATGTTCCAGTTTATTTTTATTGAATTAATTGAAGGTTCAGAGATAATTGAGACGCCATCACAACATTCTATTGTCCAATATTATTATTAGACGCGAGCCGCTCAAAGGAGCATTGTTCAGGTGCAGTCGAGGTGTAATAAAAAGAATAACAAAGTGAACTCTTGGCTCTAGTCACGCAGAAAAATGATCAGGTTCATCGTTTTCGAAATGACCTTTTGGAGAGTTTGCGTTAAAGTCCAAAACGTGATCAACAGACCCGACTCTGTCCTGCAGACGAACGTTCACTTAAAAACAGACTAAAATAAAAAGAGAACAGGAGCTGGAGATGTGACCACATTTCACCACGACTGCTCCGAGCCATAAAAGCATCTTCCTGGTTACGGCTTTAGAAATAAAGAAAGTCTGAACTCTGAGGAAGTCTTTGAGTCCTGATCCGGGACGTTCTCAGACGACGCCCAGAAGGAAGACGACTGTTTCACCCGACACTTTGACAAACCGAGCCTCACGAACACAAAATGCAAAAATAGATTCAATAAAACTTTAAATAAAAACATTACTGACATTAAAAGAATTAATTTTCCTTAAAAAGAACAGTGTGTAATAAATTTATTTATATTTTATTCTTATTTATCTATTCATTTATTTATTTATTAATTTTTTCTACCCATTTTTCTCTTTTTTTTTTTTTTTTTTTTTTTTACAGTACATATAGTCACTGAATATAAATTATTGTGCAAATATTGTTTAGTGAATATGTAAATATGTGTATGTGTGTGTGAGTGTGAATTGGCTTGTTATTATTATTATTTTTATTTTATTTTATTTTTCACAGTTATATGTTGACCTGTGTTAATAACGTTCAGTTTATGTGAAAATTTTTTGTCTGAAAATTTATAAAATTATTGGAAAAAAAATAAAACCACACACAGATTAAAAACATTGTAACTGAAGCGTCCGTCAGAATAAAAAACTGAAACGTTACGACTTCAAGAATTAAAATCACCAAACGAAATCAAACAGTTTCACTTTCTTCAGCACGAACACGAAATCACAGACGCGACTCGACTCTGATCACTGCACAGACAGAAGAACCACACCAGGTCTAAACCAGGACTAAACCAGAACTAAACCAGGACTAAACCAGGACTAAACCAGGACTAATCTAGGACTAGACCAAGACTAGACCAGGACTAAACCAAGACTAAACCAGGACTAAACCAGGACTAAACCAGAACTAAACCAGGACTAAACCAGAACTAAACCAGAACTAAACCAGGACTAAACCAGGACTAAACCAAGACTAAACCAGGACTAAACCAGAACTAAACCAGGATTAAACCAGAACTAATCTAGGACTGATTCCAGAACTAAACCAGGACTAAACCAGAACTAAACCAGAACTAATCTAGGACTGATACCAGAACTAAACCAATCTTCAAGTTTTATTTTGGTGTTTTCTTATTTTTTGGCCTAATGGCTCTGGCGTCTTTGTTTCATAGATTTTCCTAATCTAGAGATCTCTCCCAGGCCCTGTTCAAACCCTCCTCACAGTTCACTGCAGTACGAGTCTGTACGAGGCTCCGCCCACATGCTCCACACGACAACTCTCCATAAAAACACAAAAACACGACACAAAACTGAACACAACGACAAACCTGATGTTTGTGCAGGAGTTTCATTAGTGCGACGCACGAGTGTGTGGGACAGTGCTCTGAAGGGGGAGGGACTCAGCACAGAGAGGAAAGGGAGGCAGGATTGATCCACAGAAGAACCAAAAAGGAAACATTTGTCTGACTAAGAAATCATCCCGAGTTTACAGAGAACATTTTGTATGTGGAGCGACGACAAAACAAAATCCTGATCCCTCGTTTAACCTGAGTTATGAATTTAAAAAGTCAACACCAAAGTGAAAGTCTCCAACTGTTCACCAAGAAACACCTTCCACTGCAAAGACCAAGACGTGATGTTTGTGTAAAACCACAAGAACAAGAAAGTGCAGCTCAGTCTGTTTGTCTTCTGCTCCTCTACATTAACAAACGGGATTTTGTTTTGTCGTCGCTCCACATACAAAATGTTCTCTGTAAACTCGGGATGATTTCTTAATCATCATCATCATTTCTTTTCCTTTTTGGTTCTTCCTGTGGATCAATCCTGCCCATCACCTTCACCTTTCACTATTTTTCAATTCCGTTGGGAAGAGAAAATATGACAATATCAGAACCAAAAACAAAAGTGAAATGGTTCAAAAGACTTGAAAAGATCGACTTTGTCAATAGACACGTCCCAAAACAAACATGGAGGTTTGATGTTCACTTTTTCTGAAAATCCTTCCCAGTCTGGATTGTGCGATGACCTGAAGTCTGAGATTCTTGATGCGTCTATTAACTGAACAGATTCTTTAAAGTAAGAATCGTGTGAAAAATAAAATTTTAATGATTCCCGTTTGTTTCTTCAGCGTCCGAGCTCCGGATCGCCATGTTCGGGAAAAGCTTCAAGGACATGACGACTTTGGCCAACTTCATCTCGGGGAAAATGGCGTCTCCAGATCAAATCAGGACGTGCTACGTTCACGGGATCTGGAAGCGGACGCCGTTCATCGTCTTCAAGGCGAAGCACTGGCAGAACAAAGATAAAGTCAAACACGAGATCAAACAGTGCGTCGCCAACTGCCCCCCCGGCCCCAACGCTCTGCTGCTGCTGCTCGACCCCGAACACTTCACCGACGCCGACGCCGACAGACTCCACTTCATCCTGGACTTCTTCGACAAAGACGCCTTCCAGTTTTCGCTGGTGGTGACGACGCAGGACAGCAGCAGCCTGAACACGCGAGTACAAACTTTAATCCAGAGGTGCGGCCAGAGGCACCACAGAATCGACCTGAACGTGAAGAGACGCCCCGTTCACAACATCCAGGAGCTGATGCAGAAGTGTGAGGACATCGTGAACGCAAACCGCGGGCAGCACCTGAGCCTCAGCACGGCCCCGGGGTCCGAGCGCCGTCCAGGGTCAGACGAAGAACAACAAACTCCTCCAGATTTACTCAAGCAGAGCCTCCAGAAGCCGGAGGAGCTTCAACAGAAACCTCTTCGTTATGTAGAGCCTTTCTCCTTCACACAGCCCCTCAACATTGTTCTTTGTGGAAGGTTCCAAGACTGGAAAACCATCGTGTTTCACGCCATTTTAAAACCAAATCTATCATCTGAGTCATCTGAGGATTTCCTTAATCAAAGAAACATATGTGGGCGTAGAGTTTCAGTTTTAGGTCTTCCTGCTTTATGCAGAAAACCCATGGACACTGCAAAGACAGAGGTTCTGAAGTTGATCTCAGAGTGTCGTCCTGAGGGGGTCCACGCCTTCGCTCTGGTTCTGCCCGTTGGGCCCAGCAGCACTGAGGACAACCTGGAGTTAGAGGTTCTCCAAAGCGCCTGTGAACCTTACGAAAACGCGTTCACCATGATTCTGTTCACAGTGGATTCTGAAACTGAAGCTGTCGCCGTCAGTAGCTACGTCCAGTACAACACAGAGATACAAACCCTGTGTCGGCGATGTGCAGGGAGATATTTTATATTTAACATGAGTGACAACACACAGGTCCCAGAGCTGCTCAGGATGGTGGGGAACATCGGAGAAAGTCGGAGAAAGTCTCTAACAGAAGATCTGCTCCTCTCTACAGCTCCGTCTGTGCACAGAAGCAGAACTCTGAGAGTGGTGATGGTCGGGAAAACCGGCTCTGGGAAAAGCGCCACAGGAAACACCATTTTAGGACGAGACGAGTTTTCATCCAGAGTATCTCAGAATTCTGTGACGCGATCGTGCAGAAAAGCAGAGGGGACGGTGGACGGGCGGTCCATAGAGATCGTGGACACGCCCGGTCTGTTCGACACCACTTTATCAAACGCTCAGGTCCAACAGGAGCTGGTGAACTGCATCAGCCTGTTATCTCCCGGACCACACGCCTTTCTAATGGTGCTGCAGATCGGACGCTTCACCAGAGAGGAGCAGGAAACCGTCAGACTCATCAGAGAGTTCTTTGGAGAAGGATCTGAAAAGTTCATCCTGGTTCTGCTCACCAAAGGAGATGAGCTGAGGAACACCACCCTCGGGACTTACCTCGGGGAGGACACGCTCGTCCGAAGGGTGATCAACGACTGTGGAGGGAGGTTCCACGTCTTCAACAACAACGACCCCGAGAACCGCCAGCAGGTCCGAGAGCTCGTCCACAAAATCGACTCGATGGTGAACGAAAACGAAGGAGGCTGCTACACTTCAGAGATGTTCGAAGAAGCAGAAGACGCGATAAAGAAAGAGACAAACAAAATACTTATAGCAAGAGAACCGGAGATCGAAAAACAAAAAGCAGAACTGGAAGTGAAACTTAATCAAGATCTCAGAGAAGTGCAAGAGAGGAAGTCTGAAATCCCAGAAAAACTCTCACGAATCACTGAAGATCTCAACGAAATCGAGGAGAATTATGAACGAGAGGAGCGCAGGAGGAAGATGGAGCAGGAGGAGCGGGAGCAGGAGGAAGAGAGGAGGAAGCTCGAGGAGGGGATGCAGAGGAAACGGTTTGAAATCAAGTGCAGAAACTTACAGCAGCAAATCGAGTCGGACGAGAAGACGACCGCTCTCCCCGAAATCATGAGGACGACGGTGGCGCTGGAGGAGATGAGGAAGGAGATGGAGACGAGGGAGAGGGAGCGGCGCGAGTGGTGGGAGAAACGCTACGAGGAGGACGAGCGGCGGCGCCTCGAAGAACGGGAACGACACGACAGGATCCAGCGAGAGTACGACGAAAAGCGGCAGAAGTACGACGAATACGAAGCCAAACGGCGGAAGGAGGAGATGGATCGGAAGCTCAAAGAGGAAAGTCTGCTGGAAAAGTATCGACTGGAGCTGGAGAAGATCACGCGAGAGCACGAGTACGAAGCCCGGAAACAGGCCGTGAGGTCGAACAAGTTCCAAGAGAAGTACGCCGAGGTGAAGGCCAAAGAGAACGAACGCCTCAACACGGACTTCCAGTTACTGAAGATAAACCAAAGCAAAGTGAACAAAGACAACTACAACCTGCTGAGGGAGCGGCAGAAGAAGGAGATGAAGAAGGCTGCAGAAGGTTTATCGAGGAGGAGACCAGGACGAGCAGCTGCAGAAGGAGCTGGTCCTGCTTCAGACCAAACACGAGAAGGAGGTCCAGGTCTGGATCAGGGACCGAGTCAACTCCGCCGTGGAAAACCAGGCCTGCAGCATCCTCTGATCTACAAAACAGGACTAAACCAGGACTAAACCAGGACTAAACCAGGACTAAACCAGGACTAAACCAGGACTAAACCAGGACTAAACCAGGACTAAAGCAGGACTAAACCAGGACTAAAGCAGGACTAAACCAGGACTAAACCAGGACTAAACCAGGACTAAACCAGGACTAAACCAGGACTAAACCAGGACTAAACCAGGACTAAACCAGGACTAAACCAGGACTAAACCAGGACTAAACCAGGACCAGGACTAAACCAGGACTAAACCAGGACTAAACCAGGACTAAACCAGGACTAAACCAGGACTAAACCAGGACTAAACCAGGACTAAACCAGGACTAAACCAGGACTAAACCAGGACCAGGACTAAACCAGGACTAAACCAGGACTAAACCAGGACTAAACCAGGACTAAACCAGGACTAAACCAGGACTAAACCAGGACTAAACCAGGACTAAACCAGGACTAAAGCTAAACCAGGACTAAACCAGGACTAAACCAGGACTAAACCAGGACTAAACCAGGACTAAACCAGGAAACCAGGACTAAACCAGGACTAAACCAGGACTAAACCAGGACTAAACCAGGACTAAACCAGGACTAAACCAGGACTAAACCAGGACTAAACCAGGACTAAACCAGGACTAAACCAGGACTAAACCAGGACTAAACCAGGACTAAACCAGGACTAAACCAAGACTAAACCAGGACTTAAACCAGGACTAAATGGTGTTAAAGTTTCCTTGCACTTTAAGAGAAATGTTTTCTGTGAATAAAGTGAAGTGTAATTTTCTATAAATGGACGTCAGTGTTTTCAGTATTTTTCTGTATTTTCGTGTTTATTTTTTTTGTGCCGTTAATGTTCAGATTCTGTTCTGTTTGTGTGAAAAACAAGACACAGTAAAAAAAAAGTTTAACTCAAACTCGGTGTTGTTTTTTTGTCTCTGAACACAAACACTTCAGATTCTAAAATGTGATGATGCTTTTTTTTTTTTTTAACTCTTGATCACGTTGAAATTTACTATGAAATACACAAAAGGTAAATTCACAATCATTTATTTCACTAAAACCCAGAAGCTGCTGTACAATATTTCAACATGAATCTGCATTTTAATGTTTTTCCTGACCTCATCTGTGTTAAACACGTTCGACCTGTAGATTTTATGTTTATTTATGTTTTAAATCTGGAGAGTCAAACTCAAATTCTCAGTGGAATAAAATTTAAAGTTAGGACGAAATCGTGGGTCAAACTAAATATTTATAAAAAAATGTCAACAGCCAATGTCGGGAAGTTTACTTTTCAAATGTAATCCCTACAGATTACAGATTACAGATTACAGACTCCAAAATGTAGTTTGTAACAGAATCCATTAAATAACTTAAAGTGAGTAATGTAATCTGATTACTTTGGATTACTTGATTTGCTGTAGAGAAACAAAGACGAGGAAATCTTCACATAAGAAGTTTTGTCTGATAAAAGAAAATAAAAAGTCCAAACTTTACTGAACCAAATTAAAAATATTATTGATAGAAAATGAGGAGACTCAGTCTGCACAGTATGGTCCTGTTTGAGACATAGTTGAGACCTGGTTTAGTCCTGGTTTAGACCTGGTTTAGTCCTGGTTTAGTCCTGGTTTAGACCTGGTTTAGTCCTGGTTTAGACCTGGTTTAGTCCTGGTTTAGACCTGGTTTAGTCCTGGTTTTTAGACCTGGTTTTTAGACCTGGTTTAGTCCTGGTTTAGACCTGGTTTAGTCCTGGTTTAGACCTGGTTTAGTGTTCGACAATGAGTGGAATTACGGGGGGAAAAAATGTGAAAACAGTTAAATTCCTCTGTTTAATCCATTTATTTCAACAAAGTAACTGTAATCCAATTACCACTCACTGAAACAGTAACTGTAACTGAATACAGTTACTCATCATTTGTACTCTGATTACTCCGGTACTTGTAATCTGTTACTCCACAACACTGTCAACAACATCTGCAGGTTTTCTCTTATTTGTAGATCTGTAATGTTAAACTTTTTCTTATTCAAATAAATATTTAATAATAGTTTTGCTTAAACAGTAGGAATGTATCAATAACCGAAATCTGGTGATATCGTATCATCAAAGTTCACACAATAATATCATGGAGCATCACAATATGTCGAATCACAAAAGTGTCTTTGTTTAAATGAAGAGTTAAAAACACAGAGGAACTACATCGACCATGATCCTTTGCTCCACTTCAGTGCAGACGACAAGAAGAAATAACAGTTCTGACACTTAGTCTCTGTTCAGTCTGCAGGTTTAACGCTCAATTCCGATTTTTTTGTGAAATCTGATGTTTTTTCGAGGTCGTTCACATTTCCAGTTAAATGTGACTTGTGTGTGACTCCAGTGTGAACATTAAACGGTCCAAAAGTGTCCCACATGTGACACTGGAGACACGACGACGTCAACCGCAGCGAGCGTCTCTGTGTTTACACAAGTTGAACAAACATGGACGCAGCATCGAGCACCTGGAGATTTTAAAGTTCCTCTCGTACCGGAGCCACAACATGAACAACTGACTTGTTTTTAAGGAGGAGATTGAGAAGGAGAAGGAGAAGGAGCAGGTTTTTGGTGGTGGTGTTTTGTGGTGAGTGGAGATGTGCTTCACTTCAGTCACATGGATCATGAACAGTTTTCTCTACTTCAGTGCAGAATAGTGACGTTTGTGTCTTGTTGATGACGTGTAGGTGGATGAATGTGACCTGACTGTTCACACTCAAGTCACATGTTAAAGATCAGATATGGATCAGTTTCAGGAGCACAGATCCAAGTGTCCTGGTCACATGTGAAAACATCACATCTGTGTGGTTCAGACGTCATTAAAAGATCAGATACAGAAACAAAGAGACAAAACATCAGACTTGGGAAACTTCAGGTGCATCTGAACTCAGACTTTTATGTCTTTGGATTAAGTCTTGTCGACTCATTTTAAGAAGAAAAAGTCAAATATTCACAGTTTTGTTCGCAGCCTCATCAAAATATCACAATAAATATCGTATCGTGAGGTTCATACTGTGACGATATCGTGTCATGACACTTGGATGTCTGTAGTTTATCTGCGTGCGGTTTGCAGCTCTAATACAGATTTAATATGATCCCGCGGACCAAATATAATTGTATCGTGGGCCAAATTTGGCCCCCGGGCCTGAGTTTGACATGTCTGTATTAACCCTTTAACGTCGACTGTCACAAAAATGCGACAAACTGTTTAGATCGAGATAAAAGTGGAGACAGCGGCTGTGTCCCCAGTGCCGTTCGAGCAGAAGCAGAACCTTCCCAAGAAACTTGGACAAACTCTTGTTTCTAGTTGTTGCAAATTTTCTACATAACAATATTTGTATTTATTTAATTTTATATATTTTTTGTTGCTACAGTTAAATTAATAATCTCAATTTAATTTATCATCTACTTTAAGGCAAAAAGTGTATTTTACAGTGACAGTACGAGTTTGATTTTCTCTCTGCTGTTTCCAGACTCTGTTTCCTCCTGTTTCCTCCGCCTCAGTCTCCAGGAAGAACAGCTGATAAGTAAAGGTCAATCAAACACAATCGATCAACACAAACATCTGTGGTGTTGAGGTTCGTGTAGAAACACTCTGTCCCTGACTCATTAAATAAATAAACTAACAAACCAGACCAACCTGCAGAGTCTCCAGGTCATGACACGAGTTTACACAAAGAACAAAGCGGCGTTTAGATCAACGTTTGAAACGTCTGGAGTTAAATCTCTTCCAATGTGTTTAAAATTCACCAAATTGTCGTGACGTCGTCCTGAAACATCAGGAGCTCACAGAGAAACAAACTCTTCAGACATTTATTTATTTATTTGTTTATTTATTTATTTATTTTTATCAGTTTTATTTTCTTAGTACTGCTATTGATTTTTATTATTTTTGGTAATTGATTTTATTTATTCTATTAGTGTCTTTATTAAACATAATTCTGCCGGTTTTTTTTCTTTTTAAAGTAAAATGTGAAGCGTGTTTTGTTTATAAAATTTGCTCTACAAATAAAGTTGAGATTGAATTGGAGACGTAACATGTTTGTTTTAGATCAAATTTACACTTTTACAGTTAAACTCTCAAAACGTCATGAAATACAGACGAGAACTTCAGACTGAACTCAGACGCAGTTTTCAGACTCTAAGTGGCACTTTTTTTCATGGTTTGGGTGTTTCCTGTCACTTCTATGTTCAATGTTTTTCGTGACGTGTGCAGAGGTTCAAGTCTCGTGTGTCACTTCTACTGCGCATGTCTCCTGCACAAAGAGCCTCTGTTCTGCTGCAAATAGTGAAATATTCAGCTGAAAACAATAATCGAGCAGCAGAAAGAAAGTTTGGAGTGAGAGAGAAACTTGTGACACTGGGAGGCGCAGCATGAAACTTTCCTGAAGTCAGTGGACGGATGAACAAAGTCTGGACTAGTGACGGGCATTTGATGAAACTTTCTTAATCGATCGTCGGAAGAATTAACGATCGATTATCGATTAATCATGAACGTTTTTCTATTAAAATGATCATCATTATTATTACTATCTGCACTAATCTGCATCAATAAATTCAACTTTACGACATATAAACATAACGACTCTAGATCCACATCAGCTGTTTGACATTATAATGTGTTTAATTCAGTTTTGTTCAAATCTCACAGAAACAAAACTTAAAACCACATCACTAATTTACATAAACTAAGTGAAGATAAAACTCCAGCTCTTGTGTCGCTGATGTGGTTCAACTTGTGTTGGATTAAAAGACATGACTCAGGTGAATACAGGTCAGTGTGACCAGATTTGTGTTTGTCAAAACCAGGACAGCGTACGGGGGGAGGGGGGCGGGGCCTCGTCATCCACATTGAGCGACTCTCACCTGGAAAAACTTTTTCCCACTGGACACAGAAACATATGTGCTGCTTTATCCACTGTGCACATGGACTCACACTTGTCCCAACGCAACGGAAAGTGTGGAATTTCTTCTACAAATCCTGGTTAAATCCACATTTGTGCTTCGGTTCGTTACAGACTGACCCACTGTTTGTGTGTCGCTCCTTCTGATGCAGAGACACATGTACACACCTGTTTGGGCACGACACACACACATACATTCAGTTTGTCAATTAAAATTTACATAATCAATGAAATTCTTAATGATCAATTATCGATTAATCGATTAATCCTGCCCATCCCTGGTCTGGATTCAGTGACACCGAAACCATCCTGTCGGGATTCAGAAACACCTGAATAATTCTAAGTGGAGAACTTCATATACATATATATATATATATATATATATATATATATATATATATATATATATATATATATATATATATATATATATATTATATATATATATATATATATTTATATATATATATATTTATATATTTTATATATATATAAATATATATATATATTATATATATATATATATATAAACATGACATAAAATGTCCCAAGAGTCAAGTTTATGTAACGTTTGACCTTTAACCTTTAACTAAGAGCAACAACATTTGATCTTTGTATTTTTCCATCAGGGACTAAACCAGGACTAAACCAGGTCTAAACCAGGACTAAACCAGGACTAAACAGAGACTAAAGCAGGACTAAACCAGGTCTAAACCAGAACTAAACCAGGACTAAACCAGGACTAAACCAGAAACTCTCTGTGCACTTGAAAACACCTTCATGCTTGAAAACCTGAAGTGTGTAAATCTGTTTCATCAGTTTTATGTTTTTATTTGTTGTAGTTCGCAGATGTTTTTATGATTCTAACATTTCACACTCATCGATACTAAAGAACAGACTCGATACTCGATACCGATTCTTTGATTCTTTGTTGAGACGATCTTCTGTGAATTTACACTTGAAATGGTAGAACTTTCTTTTCTGTTCCCGTGTGTCTTTAAATCTGTGTGTAATCCCTGGTTTAGACCTGGTTTAGTCCTGGTTTAGTCCTGGTTTAGTCCTGGTTTAGTCCTGGTTTAGACCTGGTTTAGTCCTGGTTTAGATCTAGTTTAGTCCTGATTTAGACCTGGTTTAGTCCTGGTTTAGACCTGGTTTAGTCCTGGTTTAGTCCTGGTTTAGATCTAGTTTAGTCCTGATTTAGACCTGGTTTAGTCCTGGTTTAGTCCTGGTTTAGTCCTGGTTTAGATCTAGTTTAGTCCTGATTTAGACCTGGTTTAGGCCTGGTTTAGTCCTGGTTTAGTCCTGGTTTAGTCCTGATTTAGTCCTGGTTTAGTCCTGGTTTAGATCTAGTTTAGTCCTGATTTAGACCTGGTTTAGTCCTGGTTTAGATCTAGTTTAGTCCTGATTTACCTGTTTAGTCCTGGTTTAGTCCTGGTTTAGTCCTGGTTTAGTCCTGTTTAGATCTAGTTTAGTCCTGATTTAGACCTGGTTTATCCTGGTTTAGTCCTGGTTTAGTCCTGGTTTAGATCTAGTTTAGTCCTGTTAGACCTGGTTTAGTCCTGGTTTAGTCCTGGTTTAGACCTGGTTTAGTCCTGGTTTAGATCTGTTAGTCCTGTTTAGTCCTTGGTTTAGTCCTGGTTTAGTCCTGGTTTAGTCCTGGTTTAGTCCTGTTTAGTCCTAGTTTAGATCTAGTTTAGACCTGGTTCAGTCTGGTTTAGTCCTGGTTTAGTCCTGGTTTAGATCTAGTTTAGTCCTGGTTCAGTCCTGGTTTAGTCCTGGTTTAGTCCTGATTTAGACCTGGTTTAGTCCTGGTTTAGATCTAGTTTAGACCTGGTTTAGTCCTGATTTAGACCTGGTTTAGTCCTAGTTTAATCCTGGTTTAGTCCCGATTTAGATCTAGTTTAGTCCTAGTTTAATCCTGGTTTAGTCCTGGTCCTTATTTGTGTGTAATCCCTCAGTGGTCGAGGTAGGTTCCATAGTGGTCCATGTCTAAACCAGGACTAAACCAGGTCTAAACCAGGGACTAAACCAGGACTAAACCAGGGCTAAACCGACTAAACCAGGACTAAACCAGGACTAAACCAGGACTAAACCAGGACTAAACCAGGACTAAACCAGGACTCAACCAGGTCCATGTGTGTATTTTAGTCTCTGTGTCTTACACTTGTTCGGTTCCATCTTCTAAACACTTTGAGGAAACCTTCTAAACGTTCTTCTCTGTCCTGACACTGGGACTTTTTGAGACCTGGTTTTATTTTGGATCAGGATCAGGTTTTAGGTTTTTGTCCTGAAGCGTGTGTTTGTTTGTAGAGTCAG